CTGTCAGTTTGTGACCATTGTTCCTTGTTACCCCAAGAGGCGTCCTGGTGAACAGAGCATCTCCGATCCCTTGTTGCATCCTCCTAATGAATTTGTAGGCAGCCACAGGATCACCTCTCAGCCTTCTCTTGTGGAGGCTGAAGAGGCCCAGGTCCCTCAGTCTCTTCTCATAGGATTTGTACTACAAGTGGCCCTCCTCTGGACCCTCTTGAGTCTATCAAAATTCTTTTTGGAGTACAGCACCCAAAACTGGATGCAGTACTCCAACTGCGGTCTGACCAATGCCTCATAGAGAGGAAGTATCACCTCCTTGGTTCTATTTGTCATCCATCTGCATCTAATGATTTCGTTACACTGATGACTCATGTCCATCTTAGAGTCCACTATGACTCTGAGATCCTTTCCGCTTCTGTGCTGCTGAGAGGGTCACTTCCCAGCCAGTAGGTGTGCTGGATATTTCTGCGCCCTACGTGCAGCACTCTGCACTTGTCCTTGTTGAACTGCATCCTATTGTGTACTAGGGCTGTGCATCCTATTGTGTTTTGCACTAGGGCTGTGCAAAACGGCACCATTTTGTTTCACCTTCAGTTTTGACAATTCAATGGAACAGCGTTCTGTTTCGAATTTTATTTTGATTTGAAACAGCTGTTCTGTTCTGTTCCATCGAAACTGAAAGGCTGTTTCGATGCTGTTTTGACTTTCGCTGGGTATGGGGAGTCAGCCCCCACCAAATCACAGCGCGGGGGGTGGGAGTGAGTCCAGATGGGCTGACTCTCTGCCCTGCCCCTGCCAGATCACAGCACTGGGGAGGGGTACTGAGCCAGGCTCAGTTCCCTTCCCCTGTGCTGTTATCAGCCTCCATCAGCAGGAGACAGGGAGAACCAGGGCTGTGCTCCCTGCTGGTGCCCTGGTTCTCCCCTGTCTCTTGCTGCTGGCTTCAAAACGCGAAACATTTCAAAACTTTCTAAACGTTTCGACTAGCCTCGTTTTGTTTCGAGGCTGTTTCGAAGCCCTTCATTTCGATTCAATTTCACTGTTTCGAGCTCAAAATTAGTCAAAACAGCGTCAAATTGAAACAGCCGGCAAAATTTCGCACAGCCCTACTGCCCCACTTTTCTAACCTGTCCAGGTCTGCCTGCAATCATTCCCTACCCTCCGGAGTGTGCACTTCACCCCACAATTTAGTATCGTCTGCAAACTTGGACAGAGTATGCTTCACACCCGCATCCAAGCCACTGAAGATGTTGAAGAGTACGGGTCCAAGGACCGAACACTGCAGGACCCCACTACCCACATCCTTCCAGGTTCCAGGAATCTAAGAGCTTGTGCTTGCAAGGTGCCAGGAAACTGAAGCTTTGCTGCCCCAACCCAATGCACCAAAGCTATTTACCATGTAGTTAAGCATTGAAGCCTGGGAGCTGAAGTGCTCAGCACCTGTCAGAAAAACTCCAATAAAGCACAGTTAGACCTTAGATTATAGATGTTGCCATTCAGGTATAATACCTTGTTTTTTTCGAAAGCATCCTCTCATGTAGTGCTGCATCACCATATAATGAAGATAATCAAATAAACTCTTAGAAATGCACACAGATACCTCACTTACCACACGAGGGCTGTGAAAGGATACTACCAGGGCACAAACTGCCAATGATTATGAGTTGTATCTTTATAATCCAGTGTTCATTTTACAAGCATATGGAAACATTAGGACATGGTATTTGTGGCATCTAGAAACCTCTCAAATAGGCACCTTACATATATAATAAAAGTGTCTATACATTTTGTTCCCTCCCCACATTTTCTGATTTTTTTAGACTGTTTTAATGGTGTGTCATGTCATGGATAGTAACATCACATCAACAGTCCTCCAACCTCACTGCTACAAGCCCTGCCTATGTCTTAGTCACCATAGCATCTAGTCAGTCAGTCCCTTTCTCTCTTTCACACACTTTTGCCTTCACACTTCCTTCCAGACCACCCGTTTCAGTGGGAACCAAACACTTCCTTCCTCCTTGTAAATCTCTCCTCTGTCTACACTGCTTCCAAGTAATGGTACTCTCTCCTTTATTTATCCCTTATCACCACATGTATGAGCTGACGGTCTGTCCAACAATAAGATGTAGCGAGGATCCTAAGATTGAGAATAGACCTGAAGAAAAACTACATTTGAAAACTAAAAGAAAATTACTACACTATTACCGCTCAACGTAGTTATTCTAACAATGCGATCTAAATTAAAGGTCTTTCTGTGGGTCCAATCAAGCTCCTATTGACGTTACCAGAACAGCCTCAGGCCCTGTTTGTACTAAGATTTGTTTGCTCGGTAATAAGCTCAGTGTTCTAGTAAATGTTAATTGGCATACGATCAAACGCATTTATTGAAAAGAATTAGAGAGGGAAATGTATTCTTTTGAAGAGATAGCAAGCTAACTCATCAGTTACCCAGGAGCGGTTCCTCTCTGACTCATTACTGACTCCAGCTCATCCAAGAAAATCGTGGAAGGAGCATGGTACCGGGCAAGTTCAAATAAAACCTGTTCACAGGGGAAAAAAAATATTAACAACTGAAGGAAGACTGAGCAAAGGTGTTTAGGGTCATCATGTAAAGACTAAATAATAGTGCACACTTCACAAAAACCTTTAGGAAAGAAACAGAATAAATGTTGGGAAAATGATTGGCAGAGAAGTTCCAAAATCATTCCTTAATTCTTCAGGTTTATAAAGGAGAGATAAAGAATACATTTATGTAATCCAGTCTTTTTGTTTTAATCTTTCCTCCTAAAGTCTATGCAAGTATGCTGAGAATAATGGGATAAAAAGATAAGAATTGCAAAAAGGGACTCTGGGGAAATCCCAAATCATCACCAGAGATTAAGTACTTTCTTCTTTTACTGTTGTTGCATTTATTTTTTAAATGGGGGAGGGGGAGGGGGGATGACACACAGTCACTGAAACTCCTGTGGCAAAAATGGCCATATTGTCTTAATAAAATAAAGTACTTCTTTGAGGAAAACAAACATGGCCTGTCCTTCACAGGGTAAAATTAGATTAAAAATGGAAGTTAAAATGAGTGACATTTGCCATTGCAGTGATGACGTGTTACCTATTTTTTCTTTATAAGGGTAGCTAAATATAAAAATATTCATAGAATATTTTTATGGAAACATCCTTCAACTATTTAAAAACAACATCATAGTCTGGGATCCGGACTTTCCATTTGCCAAGGAAAAACATGGGCTTTATTATTTTAAAGGAGAAAAATGTGGATTTTCTCTTTTTAAGGAGAAAACACATATTTTCTCCTTTAAAGGAGAAAAACACAGGAAACGGCAGGTTTCCTCTTGCAGGCTGGGCAATCAGGCAGGGGGCACCATTTGCATGTGTGCGTACACAACAGCCAGGCAGTGTGGAGAGCAGCTCCAAACGGCTCCCTGCAGGTAGGCCTTAGGGGGTGGGTTCTAGGGGAGGGATGGAGGGAGCTGGGCAGGGCTGGGAGAACTACCCAGCTGGGGCAGTGTGTGGGGCCTGGGGTTAGAGGTTCAGGCCCAGGGCAAAAATGCATGGCCGCAGAGCCCAGGTGAGGAGCAGGACAGAGCCACAGGCAGCTCATCTGTGGGGTGCGTGCACTCCAGGGAGGGGGGCATGCATGGCCACAGAGCCCAGGTGAGGAGCAGGACAGAGCCACAGGCAGCTCATCTGTGGGGTGGCGGGGGGGGCTAACTCCATGTCACTGCGTGCACTCCAGGCAGGGGGGCATGTGCCCCCAAGATTTGTGCACAGATGTAGGCTGCCCGCTGCAGGCTTGGGGCTCCTTGCCCTGCTGCCTCCTTGCCCTGTGCCACCAGGGCCCAGCATGGCAGGGCAAAGCGGGGCAGGGAAGCTTGGTGCTGCTACCAGGAGCGCTGCTCTGCCATGGTGAAGTGTCCCCTGCCCACCCAGCAGTAGCAGGGGTGGCTGTGTGGAGTTGTGCCACCCACTGCTGCCAGGTAGGCCGGGGACACCTTGCTACCATGGCACAGGGCTCTCAGTGGCAGCACCAAACCTTCCCACCCCATTCTGCCCTGTTTTGTTGGGTTCTGCCCGCTGAACTGCAGAGGCCCTGGGGAGAGGACAGCAGGGTGGGGAGCCCCAAAACCGCAGTAGGCAGCCCACATCCACTCCCCCCGACAGGCTCTGCTCCAGCTGTGCTGCCCACAGGGGAAGGGGAGCTGGGCTACGTGCGCCACTTGGGCTGCAGCAGCTACCGCCTCCCACGGGTAACAGCTGGGGTTTGGGTGCTGCTGGTGGGGCACAGGGGGCTGCACACCCAGGTCCCTGACCCTGTAGCCCTAGCAGCTGGGCGCCTCCTCCAGCATGGCTGTGGGGGCAGGGGGCTGTGGGTAGGGAATGAGGGGCACCAGCATGGCCAGGGGGCTGTGGGTGGGGAGTGAGGGGCAATGGCATGGGTAGGGCACCTGCATATCAGGGCTGCTCAATGCCATAAACCAGCAGGGGGGACAGCTGCAGCTGGACCTGTGTCTTGGTGAGCAAAGGGGGCAGGGGGAACTCTGATTTTCCATGATAAAAAACCCAAAAATCAAACGCCAAAATATATAGGTATTTAGAATTTATTTTATTCTAGCAATTGAGGCACTGGTATGCTTCCAAATTACTCTAAAATTGTAAATATATCAATAAAATATTGTGTTCAACAGATATCTATCTATCTATCTAGTGGTGTTTCATTTTAAGTGCAGTAATACATGGATTTGGGGGTATTTAATCAGAGAATTTGTGATTTTTTTTTTTAATCAAAGAAAACCAGGATCCTTGATCATACTGCAGTAACTATGGCACCTTTCATCTAAGGGAGTGAAAAGGCTTCATAAATATCTTTATAAGGACAGACCTTATTTTCTCCATTCTATAGATGAAGCACAGAGGTTAGATTACTTGCTGAAAAAAAATCACACAGGTTGTGGCAAATTCAGAATAAAACCCACATTTCCTAGCACCAGTGCTTGGCTCTAAGCAGTAGGCAAAAGTGCTTCTTTGTGGCAAAAATAAATGAGTATAACAGAATCAGCACACAATCACAGCTCCTTTTAAAAAGCAATCCCAGCTAGAGCAAGACTTACCAGTTCCTAATTTTGGAATCCCAGATTGCTCAATTAATCCCCCTCTTCATTCTTTTATTCACTCATGACTACATTATCTTTAAAGTTAGCTTATAAGAGCCTTGGGGCAGACCACACTTTTATTGACAATTACATACCACCTATCCTATACAGATCAAGTAAAATCTGGGACCAACTGTGACATCTTCCATTCCAACGTGGAGCACCTCCAGTGATCACAGCAATGAGGACATGTTCTAATCTAGGAGGGGTGTATGTGGTAGCCATGTTGATCTGAGACAAAAAGAAATGCAAAAACCTAGAACTCTTGGTTCCAAAATGGTACTTTTTATTAGATCAACTGAGAAACTGCAAAAAAAGTTGCATAAAAATATTTTTTTTTTTTTGCAATTTCTCAGTCAGTCTAATAAAAAGTATCATTTTGGAACCAAGAGTTCTAGATTCTTGCATTTCTTCTAATCTAGCAGGAACTTTCAGTTGTTCTCAGGATTTAGTTTGCCTGCTGATGACTCAATAAATCAAAAATCTTTGACAGCTTTGGGAAGTCATGTATTACTGAGCTGAAACAACACAGCAGGAACTTGACCAACATGGTATCTTAATAGAAATAATATGTATTCTTATTTTACAGAAAGGGAAATGAGTGAAGAGTGAAATGACTTGCCCAAGACTGCAGAGGGTATCAACATACGAGAAATACTCATCAGTTCCTGTCTCTCGGTTTTGTTCACCCCGTTATAAAACTGCTACTCTCCGGCTGCCTGTTAGAGCATAATTCTTACCCGGACAAGTTTTTCTGAATCGCCCCTCCACTTGCTGACAATGGTGGAGGCTGAAATGTTGAAGAAAGTTGTGTTGCATTCAGTGGCAACAGCCTTAGCCAGCAAAGTCTTCCCAGTACCTACAAACACAATGAAGAAATTCACTCTAAGCATATGTAAGCATTTGAGTAATTCCCTTCATCAACTTATTAGTCAAAAGTGAACACTGATAGTAAAAAAAAAAAAAAACCCCAAAAAGACTAATCAGGACTATCTGGAGAAACACAAGGAATAGGACCTCAAGGCACAACACCACTAACAGGTGGATTCTTCATTTGCCTTCTTCCTGATTTTTTTTTTTTAAATGAACAAAGCACAACAACAGACTGTGTTGTGGCAAGTAAATACCACAGTTCCCAGGAAGGGACCATCTGAGCCAGGTTGGCTGGGACTGACATTAAAAGATGCATCAAATATGCACTGCTGGCAACTACAGACAAATGAAGCCACAGCAGTGATGATATTTGAAGCACATCACTGCTCTGATCACCCATGGTCAGGAATGCTGGCTGGGGGATTTAGGCACAGCAATATTCTCAGGCTGTGCACATAAGTGGGGAACTCTGTGCACTGAGAAACAGATCGAAGGAGTGGTCTACCAGTAGGCTATCCTCTCACTTCAATTCACACCTCCACAAAAAAATCAAATGAAATTAGCATAAACCTCTAAAAACAGTTTACCATCCTCTGCAGATGATTCTTCTGTTTGGCTAAAAACAAAAGTAGTGATGTACAACTAATCATATAGTCTATAGCTGTATCTACCTGGAGGTCCATACAGTAATAATCCTTTCCACGGGGAGAGAATCCCTGTAAACAGCTGTGGATACTGTAGAGATTAAAAAGTAATTCAAGTAATTCAAATATGCACACTCTATATCAAACATTATTTTTGAGGCAATATTTTCTGGTTTATTCAGGAAAATCAATAAGCTGAAAGAGAAAAATAGAACTATATAAAAAAATTGACCTGAATTATCAATAAAAAGGGACATTTACATTTAAAAGGTGTTATATGAATTTTATGTTTTATTTTGATACAATGCACGAGGTTGGCTAGTCTCATCCATAAATCATTATCCTGTAGCATGATCCATGCCCAATCCAGCCGCTTTTATTTAGAGACAATTCCTACAGAATAAGGAGTGGGGATAAGTCTGGGAAGGTTTAGACAATCCTGCCCTGACCGGGGTGGGGATTGTACTACATGACATCTTGAGTTCCCTTCCAGCTCTATTTTACCATGATTGTGTGACAGAAGAACTGGCCTTTTCCAATCCAGCATACTGCAGAGCCTTCTTATGTGAGACGCTATAGGTCACTGTCTATTTAAATTCCATTTGCTGAATAGGAACTGCATTCAGAACAGGATAGATACAGTAAGAACTGTGCAATGGTTCTCTATTTGCAAGAAACATGTTAACTAGCTGGTGACATTCTAACCATAACAACATGTAGGATGATGCCCAGCATTGGTTTTCTCGAACTATTTAGGGCCTTACCCTTATAGGATACACAACTGCTTCCTTGACTAACTGCTTGGCTGCATCAAGTCCAATAATGTCATCCCACTTTATGTTTGGATTATGGAGATAAATGTCCTGCAACACATATTTGATCTTTTTAGTAGAAATAATGTTCTCCTCTAAAACTATAATAAACACTGAAGTAGCGAAACAGTCCGTTTATACCAGGATGTAAAGTTACAGTGATATTAAATGAGACTGTTTAATTCAAACCACACATACTGTAAATCCTTGGTTTACCATGAGACGTACACAAAAATAATTCCTAGAGAAGACATTAATTATGAACATACTGTAAATCCTTGGTTTACCATGAGACATACACAAAAATAATTCCTAGAGAAGACATTGATTATGGCCTGATCTCAATGAAGCCTGGGGAAGTTTTGCCATTGGCTTCAAAGATAGCAAAAAACCGCTATAATTGACCAGACCAATGGTCCATCTCCTTAAAAGTAGCCTGCATCACATAGTTCAAAGGAAGGATTAAGAAACTCCAGAATGGAGAATGATGGAATAACCTGCCTAGGTGAGGGTTTTGTGAAGTAGGTTGTTGCCTCTAAACCAGTTAGTCTAAGGTGCCATCCTGTCCCACCCTCTAAAAGAGGGACTACAATTGTCCTGTCCCCTGCGGTATTCACCCAACTAAATGTACTCAACAGGGCAGCTGTTGTGTAAAAATTAGATTTATACTCTATTATAATTTGACGGCTAAACTGTACTCTCAGATAAAATGAAGAAAGGTCCCCACTGACTAGAATGAGAGGTGTATGCTCCAGGAAAATATTTCATTGAATACATTTAGAAAAATTATTTATAACAATTAATAGATCACACTTTCCTTTCTGTGAACAGCAACTTCAGCTGAACCTGATTTATGATGCTAAACAGAGACTTCTAGAAGACTTTCCAACACTAAAGTAGACTCTCTAGTGGACCAGTTACCATGTGTCATTCATTTTATTGATTTACTGGACACACACAGCCATCACAATTAGGCACATATTAGTAAAGTATAAAAACACACCATAAAAATCATCTAAAAACTGCTGCTCCTGCTGTTCCTGCCAGGAGTGACTACAGCCATGTTATTTTGTCAAGAGCTTCATAAAAATAAAAATCAGCCAAAACCTACATGAAGAAAGCTACTCTGACTCCAGCTCACAAACTTGCTAGACTCAGTCCCTACAGGGCAGATCATTGGAATGATCCCTAAAACCAGTGAGGGCCAACCTTTTTGGCATGTGTGCCACAAATTAGCCCCATACCCTCCACGAGTACCATTCCAATCCCTTCTCCTGTCCCATCTGCTGCTCTGCTTTCTGCTCCCTGCCCTATCTGCCACTGTGCTGCCTGTCCCCACCCCATTCTGCCACATGTCACATACAGAGGCTACCCATGCCACTTGTGACATTCATGCCACAGGTTGCCCACATGCCTTAGACAAGGACCTTTGACTCAGGAAGCAGTGCAGTTGCTCAGCTCTAAGCTTGGACAGCCAGTCTCCCAGCTCATTTAAACATCCTTGACAAGACATAAAGTAACAGGCAATCTCATAACCACAGTGGGCTTTCAGGATAAAGTCCAACACTCAGGACTGGACCTGGCAGAAAATATGGACTGAGCAAAAGAGACTCAAGTAAATGGGTTTAAGTGCTTTTCCCACTTAGAAGGCAGTCTGCTTGAGGGTGGACTTGCAGGTAATCCTAAGCAGAGATGGTAACCATACTCCTTGCATTTGACTTGTTCCTCCAGTAATTTCATTACTAAAAGGATTCAAGTGCATCTTAGAAATATTGCTTTTTGCCTCAGATAATCACTGACCATTCTCTGTCTTGGTACTCTGTTCATATTACCAGACAAGTTTTAATGAGAGGCAAAAACATCTACAACTAAGCACAGTATATTGGCATTTAATTTTTCCTTCAAGGAAGACCCTGTTCATTTAGACCCCGATTCACCAAGGACCTTACCACGTATGCAAGATAAAAAAAGATCAGGACCTACTTGGGGCCCTATAGCTGAATTAGGCCCTTAATCAGCCATCTCAGGTAACATGCAGCTTCCCTGTGTAGATAACTAATGTACAGTTTTCATAGGAAAGGCAAAAAGGAAAGCAGTGCTGGTCTGGCTGGTACAGCTCCTATATTATAAACAGCAATATGTCCCTATGGGAAGGGGAGCAATTTAAATTACTTCTTTGTGCTCCTGGTCAGGAAAAAATCTGTAATACTACATGCAAGGATGGGAAAATGTACTGGGCTTAATTTATTCCTAATGTAACTTTAATGGTGCTGCCGCAGGAAAAAAACTTGGTCCAGTGCCTTCGAGAATTAGCACTTTCAATGCCAGCAAAAAGAAACTGCCAGCATTCTCAGACAACCACAGAACCCAGGCTCTCCAAACCACTGAAATGAAGATCCAATCTTACTCTGCTTATGACCGTTGCAAGTTCTCTCATCTCACCAGTCATGCCAATGAAAGCACTCAGAGGTTTTAATAATCGCTCCTAAAAACATAAGAGCATAAAAAATTGTTTATACAAATTATAAAACTGTCTCAAAAAAGATACACTGCAGGAAAAGTGCTAAAGTTCGGAGATGCCCTCATCTCTTTATGGTAAGGGTTAAGCCATAGTCCCAAGTCTTACTGGGCTGAGGGCCAGACTCTGCCAGCCTTACTCACAGTAAATCAGTCCCGTACTCCACAAGTAGCTCTACCAATCTCAGCATCTGCATAGCAGAATCAGACCTACATGAATTAGAGGTATGTGAACCAGGAATTTAAACAACTGTTATCATATTACCTTGTGTGTTGTTTTAAAGGAAGATGTTCCTTTCAAGCATAATAGTACAGACAGGCAGGCACTGGGTGAGAAGGCCTGATTCTGCTATCAGTGCTGGCTTGTGGTAGGGAGTGGTGACCTTGACTGCGGATCTCTACTCCAAATATTTAAAGTATGCTCAAGGAAGAGCTGACAGACGGCAGCATCTTGACAAATTCAGTGAGAGAGGAGACTCCTGCCCGTATCCTGAAGACAGAGGGGGATAGTGTGTTCCCACTAAAGTGAATGACAAGTGCCCAGTGACTTCGGTGGTACCAGGATTTTACCCAGAGTTATTCTTTGGAGCTATGGCAGTTCAGCTATGTATGCAAACTTTATTATACAATTTGTATGCTCCATTCAGGGAGTACATAACTGTGAACAAATTAGGCTTATATTAAGTGTCAGTGTCCACCCTACAAGGAAATAAGCCACACTAGAAGTCCAAACCAGTCTTTAGTACCAAAAGCCAGGACAATATTATTATGGCATTTTGCTTTAGTTTTGTTCCCAGTTGTATACTTCAATGAACAGTTAAAGTTCACTTGGTCTGATGGGAACATAAGCACTTACAGAAGGATCTGGATCATAGTTAAGGCTGTTTAAGGCTATTTCATTTGATGATCCTTTGATGGCATCTTGAATCATCCCACGGAAGTCAATTATTTGGCCCTTAAGGAAAGAGGGGCAATGTCATAAGCTTTAATAACTCTTAAACAGGTTCATTCTACAGGTTAAATCATCAGGAATTACAGAAAATAAAGCAAGCTTAGCAGGAAAACAGTTCTACACCTACAAAAGGCAACAGGCATAACTGAGGGCAGAGTTTGGCCAAGAAAGCTTGCTGCCAGTCACACATGAAATCAGCTGAAGCTGTGGCAAAAGAAACCAGCTCTCCTACCGTTCAGTGCCATGCTTTAAGTACAAAACCATCTATCCACACTATTTTCAAGCAATGTAAAAAGATTCTACATCCAGGTTTCATTTCTGCTATGCAGAGGGGGCTCTGAAATATGCACTCTTGCTTGTCTAGCCTATTTTAAATATTGTTTCTAAGCAGAGTCCACTCACATTGCCAAAATGGAGCAAGGATTAAAGTTACCATCCAAAGTACATATAGTGAAGCACTCAGATAGTCCCTCAACAGCAGTATTTTATATAAACATGTACAAAAGAGGCTCGTGTCAGTCTTTTGCTTACAGCTTCAGTGTCTTTTAGTCATACACATTCCCGCAACAACTCACAGATGTATTTTATATATATATTTTCTACCAACCCTCTTTGGATGACTGCTCTCTCCTCCACCACTTCTGTTGATTGAAGATATGTTTAAGCCAAAATCAGATTGCTCCAGAGTAAGTGTATGGTCATTCTCCTAACGAACAAGCAAATTTAAAATATGTGTTGTCAAGCAGATGAATTTTAGACATCATTCTTCACACATGCCCAGATGATTACTTGTCCCAGCTGATTGGTTATTATTTTTGCCAATTCAATGGAATATATGTTTGTGCGCTAACACAGGACATTACAATGGACTCCTTTAAACCTCAGTTCATCTGACTGCTGAAAGCAATGAAAACAACCACAGTTCTGGCACTCAATATTTATTCATTTCCTGGGCAAAAAATTTTCTGTATAGTAAGGAAAAAAGTGCATACTACTGTACTTAGTAATAAGAAGAAACCTTTACGCCCACCATGAACTGAGCACCGGAATACAATAGGAATAATGGTTGTGACTAGGAATAGAGGCAGAATACTCAGTGTGTCTGCTTAAATGCAATTTAGGGACATTTTAGGGTTTTCAGTTACCCCTATTACTGAAGACTGCTACTGAAGTTGTCTTTGAAGCTTTATTGATAAAAAACGTAGAAGCGGCCAGAGATCCAGCCTCGGCACAGACATGTATACAAGGATTTTTAAGTAAAGAAACAGCTCTCAGACATTTCTTCAGTGCCCAAAGATTATGAAAGGTACCAAACTGGCTTGTTCTGACGGGCCGGAAGCCTGCTGTTTCTGCTCTCTGCAGCTTAATTCACCTTCATGCAATGTGAGTAACAAAGCAATGAGCCCAGGAGCCCGTACTCTCAGACCAGCTTCACAGAGCAGAAAACTGTGGTAATAAATTACATCCCACAATCAGATGCATGAGACTGGATTACATGAATGTGCCTGTGGCTGAGGCTGGACATCCTATTTGTTCTTCCTTGGTCTGTAATCTTCATTCTGTCTGGCACCATATAACAAATCCTTAAACCTAGAATTAATGAAATTTTGACTTAGGTGGGTGCTGCATCAGGCCTCAAATGACATACTGTCTTCTTTCATTTCCTCTCTGTGCCTCTTTCCCACCTTCCTACCCAGACTGCTTTTCCCACTAGAAGCTTATAGAGGTTACATTTAATTTACACAATTGGTGAAACTCTTGATAAGAAAGCCCCAAATGTTTTCTCGTCATTTACTGACTGATTTACAGTCCAAACTAGAATCGATATCAATGGCAACTGTAACAGTTAGGGTAGAATACACTTGAACCTGTTTGGGGGTATTCTTGCTAGACGGTTTAGGCTCAGCTGTCCTTCCAGATGAAGTTTTTGATAATGGCCGCTGCACTGTTTGATGATGGTTGATCCTAGGGAGATTATGAGAAGAGCTACTTGCTGTCCTAGGATATAAAAAGCCTTTCAGGATATGAATTTTAATTTCTCATTTTCTTGCCAACAGGTCTCTAAATATTGAAAGATTCAAAGTTGGGATTTTCAAAAAAGCACACTGTTGACCAAACTTTGCTCCCACTGAACTTATGAATTGATCTCAATGGAAGCAGAGTTCAATGCAGAGTGCTTTTTAAAATCCCACCGTAACACTTTATGTGCAACAACGAGGGGATTTTTCAGAAACATTAGCAAACTCTCCACATATCAGTTTGGAAAACAGCACACAGTCTGAGCAAGAATTCTGTTCAGTTTTAAAACAAGATGCTAAGATCTCACCATTTAGTTTGCAGCATGATTTTATGCTAAGCACAGCTTTACATTAGCTACATATTTTCAGAGCATCACATAACTAAATGGATATTACTCTTTGGGAAAAACATTCTACCCTGTGTTCAAGCCAAGTGACATTTCTCTTACCTTCGTGGTCTCCCTCCATTTCTTAGCTGCTGCTTATTTTCTGCTATGGCAAAATAAATGTTGAAATAAGATATTAGGAGAGGAATGCCATGGTCAGGAGAGAAGGACCGTTTGATAAACTTCATTTTAAAAACATTTTTGTACAAACCTAGTGATTTTGGAAGGCCCTATGTGAAAAGCCTTTCAGGACTGTTTATGCAGGACTCTTTAGTTTTCCCTTTCTGTAACATGTACAAAACATCCTTAGGAGCAGTCTGAAACCAGGAAAGTGCACTATTCACTGGACTGGAGAGTCGTGCTCACTCTTGCTCTTCCTATCTGGCCCAATTCATCTTACCTTCTTTGCTGCTCAGTGGCCCAGCTTCAAGGGTGGGAAAGGGCTACCAACCCAGTCTATCCCAGAGGCCAGGGAACTCTTGTCAGAAGTGAGAGATGTGGATTTGAGCCCCATCAGGTTGATTAAGGACTTGACACCACTTCCTACTTTCATGGCAAGCATTTTGGCTACAAGTTTGTCTTATAAAAGGCAGGTGGCACCACCATTTCTTCTTCCTCCAGCCATGTTTTTGAATGAAAGTGGACTCGGTTTGCTGGATAGACTATAAGTCTTGCGCCCAACACTCTTGCTAAGACTTCAGCAAAACCTTGGCTCAACAAGGCCTAAGCTTTTAGCGGACCTCATCATCTTTAGTTTAATAAAGGCCCTCTCTCCTCTTTAGTTTAATAAGGTCTCAGCTTCTAATCAAGTTTTTCCCTTTCCACTCTCTTCCTAGAAGGTGCCAGAATAAGGCAGTACCAGGCCTGGTTAGCTTGACCAAAATAATGAGCAGGGAGTTTTGCAGCCCTTGCAGATCGCACCTGGAAGATGATAAATCAAGTAACATCCTCAACAAAGATAGGGAGATATGAGAGAAGGTTTAACAATAAAGGGATAATTAATTGGTACCCATACCAAAGTAGAGAGAGGTAATTCTCTGCACTGGTCTGAAGTCAGGCAGAAGGCAGGGCAGGGTAGCATCTCAGAGACTAACTCATTCAAAGAATAGGAAACAGCCTATTTCATCAGAAGCATCTGATTAGAAATAGACTGTTGCCTACAAAAATGTATGCCTCTCTGAACAAGTTAGTCTCTAAAGTGCCATCCTGCCCTGTCTTATACCAAAGTGGTGAAATAAGGTACACCTCCATGTGGTAAGTGGTTTCTATAGGTATTCAATGTATAACGAAGGTATAAAATATGTTTATTTGCTGGATGTGTAAACCCCTATGCAATTCCCCTTTGCTAGCTGGTTTGATCAACTGGCCGACAGCAGTTAAAGGCTCTTTAGTTACACTCACTGTGTCATTTCTTTAAACTTAATATTGTCACAACCCAGTGATTTTGGTGCCTCGCCACGATGGATTTTCCCTGCCACATGAGAGCCTCTTGCACAGCAAAAGGTTTTTGTTGCAACAGAAAAACCTCGGTGCAAGAGAGTTCCTGCCATTTGGATGCAAATTTGTGTTCCGCTATTGGCCAGTTCTAAATTATTCCTACGTGGCGGCTAGTAATTGGCTTGCTAGCCGTTTAAAATTTCGTGCGACTTCCGCCCAAGTCGGAGAACTTTGAGCATGCTGCAGAGTGCCTCTAAAGAGATCTGACTTGCGGCTGAGCTGATCGATAGACTGATCACCTATCGATTCTTCTCCCCGTTGCCGACCACAAACCCCGATGTACCCTTTCCCCGCTGGCTTAATTTGTGGACGGATTAATTGGCCTGAGCCTTGCCAGCTGGAACAACTGACATAGTTGTTCAAACGACCGGACCACCTGCGTCGTGGCTACAGGCGGCGTAAGTAAAGTTTTTGCAACCAATAAGCTGTGTCTGCCTCTCCATTCACCTGCCCGCCCAAACGACCGAGTAATTTCTAAATCACCTCGAGTTGGCTCCGGCCGTCCGAGACAAATATATACTACATGTAGTAAACCAGATGAAGCTGAACTGTGCAGGGCTGGGGTCTTGCCAACCCAGTCGTTTGTAACATGGCTGCTGCTGCACCTGGTGTTGATGCAGTAGTTTTAGTAAGTTAGGTGTGCTTCAAATCTGGTTCGTTGATCCCAAATGGGCGTACAGGGCACATCAGCAGGGCTGAGTAGCTTGGTGCCTAGACAGCAGTGCTTCTGCACTTGTGCAGCAGCAGAACTCTGGGTGCCTAGTGATCCTTCCTGGTAAAAATTCAACACAACAGAGGTTAGGAGGGGGTTTTAAGGGTCACCTGCTTGAATTTGGATACCTGGATTCTTGCTTAGTCTTCTGGGTCAAAGGCCTACTCTGGATCAGTACGGGTATCAGAATGCAGCCCTAAGCATGATTTAACAAGTGCTTTGTAACAGGAACTGTGGCCCTGCTTGATTTATAATTAATTCTTCTATTTATGCAAATGGAGGATTCTTTTTCTTTTCTGATGCCAAAGCACAAGACCCTGGCTGTACATCTTGCTCTCATGCAGATAACATTTGCTTCCAGCCAGTTCTGATCTTTTACAAAATTTCCATCACAGTGAATGTCAGAACAACTGGTGGTTTTCAAAAGCATTTTATCCATATAAAAATAGTAACACTTATATGCTTCAGTGGTGTCCCATTTACCTGGGACCTTCACAGTTCCCCACAGGCTTTTGAAACAACTGAAGTGGCTTGGCAGCATTTCCTTCTCACTTAGCTCCTTCCCTAACAATTAGTTTCATGTATTAAAAGGCAGAGATATGGAGAAATCAGTGTCTCATTCACATCTTCATAACTCTGCCTTTTCTTTTATCATGCTTCTTGTCACCCCCTGTAAGTGAACCTGCTGCATCCCACTTCAACAGCAATCAAGCTCTCAGCATCACCTCAAACATGCCTCGGTTCTGACACGTCTCATTCTGTCCTGCTTTTGCTTGTTCCTGTGGATTCCAAGCCCTTTGAAGCAATGGCTTGTTGTGTATCTGGCATGTAGCATGCAGGGTAAAGCACCATGTATGTCTATGTTGCTATAAGTAGATATCAAAGCAGTTTTAGGAAGATGCATAAACATCATTGCTCCTATTAAAAATCATAAAAATACAGGGTTGAAAGGGAAGATCACCTGGAAGATGCATAAACATCATTGCTCCTATTAAATATCATAGAAATACAGGGTTGAAAGGGAAGATCACCTGCTCCAACCCCTGCACAGATACAGGATAAGCTGTTCCTAAATCACCCCAGACAGATGCCTTTTCAACCTCCCCTTGAAAACTATCAGCAAGTGAGAGGAGATTCCATAGCTTCCCTGAGCAGCTTGTACCATCACTTCAGAGAAGGGCAGGCAGAAGAAGGAACATTCCCCAGGTCTCTCAGTGCCTAGTTTGGTACTCTAACCACTTGACCTCTAGCTCTATAACAATTTGAAAACTTGGGCCTGGTGGAAGCAAGATTAAACACGGAGAAGTTTAAAAAGTGTGTTTCATAGACAGACCTGATGAAAAATGTCTTGCATTTGAAAGTTTGTCAAACTTTATCCCAATTACATAGGTAGTCCAATACCAGATATCACCCTTGCCTCTTTCATATACAAAACATATATATATAGTTTAAGAATGACAAAAAATGAAAGTTAAAAAGCTTTCTTTCTGGAACACAGCTACATACCAGTGTCTTGGATCTTTTTGGTAATTTTAGGGTATTTTTGGAATTTGACATAGTAATAGCTTTCATATTCCATCAAAATAGTCTCAAGATCAACGTTGTCACAAACTTCAAAGCCGTGTAAACCTAATTTGGTTTCTTGTTCCAAAGCATTTGCAGCATCAATATACCTAGTATTTTCAGAAGAACAAAGAAAATAAAGCTGAATGTCATGATGTTATAATTTTTTGAGTGAAAAGTTGGAAACAAATCTCTTACAGTTCAAACTGTAGCCTGTGCTGCATGACTAATAAACACTAGCAACCATAATCACTTTTCATCCATGTAGAGGTGGAACTAGGAAGCTTTGTGCCTTGGCCAGGAGCAGTGGTCAGGGCAGCAGGGGGAGCTGCCATTCTCATGCCCTAAGTTGGTACCCAGGGAAATGACATTTAAATGAGTTCCTGATTATACAAGATTTACACTGGTATAGCTGAGATTGTTATCAGGCCATCAAAGATAAAGGGGTAAATATTCAAAAGGGATGTCTTCCAGTCTGGTTTGGTGTCAGTGCAAATTTGCTCTTGTATTTTTACAACCAGAAAATGAAATGTTGGTGCTAATACTTGAACCTACATTCTCAAACTCCCTCATTTCAAATATAAATGATGCCCACAGAGGCTGCAGAACAAACCTGTTATCTACCATTCAAACAGATTTAGGAATGAAGGTGGTGATTTAGTGCATCTGTAAATTACACCAGAAAATGGAGGGCCAAACAGTATGAAAATTTAACCTAATTACTTGTTCTAAACTACTTAGGAAGTTGGTGAGAGTAGGAACAAAGATTTCAAAATCCCTAACCCCAGCTTATTCCCCTCTATTGTTATGCTTTCATACAAAACATTTCTTCAGCCTCTGGAAACTTGTGTGTGTCCAAATCTTCTCATGCAGGAAAACAGCTTTTAATCTGGAAATTCAATGCTGCTATACCTGATGTTAACTCAGCCCCAGCCTCTCCTGTTATTCTCACCCATTTACATAAATATTAACATTTTTAATTCCTCAGACAGCAGTTCTCCTTATTCCAGATTTCTAGGATAGTAAGGTTATTGTTGTTCATATTTTGAACTCCAGTGTCTAAACCAGGGCTGGGCAATTATTTGGGCTGAAGGGCCACTTAGGGAGGTTTGGTGAGGTGTCACAAGCTAGGTCAGCACCACTTCCCCTGCCCCAGCAACAGCTCACCAAAACTGCTTAAGTGGTTCTACCTTGTGCTTGGATGGGGCTGTGGGCAGGCAGGGCTGACATCATGGAGCACTGACAGTGCGGGGCCAGGGCCCAGGGCAGAGCTGTGGTCTGTTCCATGCATGCCCACGATGGGCACCGGTTCCACAGGCAGGGTGTGCAGGAAGTGGATTGTGGCTCTGCCCCGGACCCCAGTCCTACGCTGTCACCAACCAGCAATCCAGAATGGCCAGGACCCATGCAGGCAGGGTGCACATCCAGGTGGAGGGGATGGGTCCATGGGCAGCAGGGAGTGGCATCCAGGAGCAGATGGGCAGGCAGGGCTGAGGCCAGGGCCAGGATCACAGGGTGGTGACAGCCTGAGGCCAGGGCCCAGGCCGAACCACGGACCACTCCCAGCATGCCCCTGCCCCAAAACTGTACAGCCTGCAGAATCAGGGGCTGTTACAAGGGTGTGCAGGGAGATCATGGCTCTGTCCTGGGCACCAGCCCCACGTTGTCACCACCTCACGATCCCAGCCCCGCCTACCCGTCCCACTCCTGGACACCACTCCTCGCCCGCCCTCAGTCCCATCACATCCGCCCTGCCACATGCCCTGATTATGCAGGTCCTGTCCAATCTCCATGGAGACCCTGCCCACCCACTCAGTCTGGCACCCCCAGCAATGGGTGTGGGGTGGATGGGCCGGGTTGCAGCGGCCACAGAAACTGGCAGCAGAAGGGAGCAGCAGGGCGGGGCG